ATATACTTAAGTCTCATTGTCTTCACACTTACAATCTTAGTCATTACATAAACATGAATCATCTAATATGCTACCCGGTTATACTTGGAGATGGATTACTTCGGGGTTCACAACCCTTACTTCCTCACACTAAGTCTCTGAAGCTTCATAAATCTCTACATCCTACTTTGGGTGAGTATTCGTCGTCCTCAATCTTTTTCTAGGGCGTCAATCAATCAAATATACGATATTGATTTCCCACTTCTTTTGTATTGGTTCCTTAAACCACCTCCAATCATAGAGCTCCATTGTCAACAACTTCCATTTCCAACGACGATGTTCCATTTTTCCATACATGTCCACTAAGTGCACAAGGCATAGTCACAATGAGATTATGTCAAGTAAAACCCTTTCCTTCCTTTTTGCATTTCCAATGGTCACGAAACTTCATTCTAATCCTTGATATCCACAAGCTTCTCATCTAGTTCACAAAACGTCTGATTACACATCAACCATAATGCCTCTTCCTGTACCAGCCCATTAACAATCCCTCTCTAGATTATGGTGGATCCATTAAGAGTTTGAGATGAACGAAAAATTGTTGTGACGAGTTTCTCTCTAGAAGATACCTCTGCTCAAAACAAAATCTTGCAAGTATTATATCCACACCTACTATATGCTTATCTAATTTCCTTTGTCTGTTACGCTACTCTGATCTCAACTAGTCACGTACTTATTGTAATCCTATGAGTTACACTATGTCCACAATCTATTTGGTTTCATTACTCTATCATACTTAAACCATTAATAACAACAATCTCTTCTATACGTTCATCCAATACGATGCACACTTAAATCTCAACCACATTATTCAATGAAAATTTCTCGAGGTTGGATAGTTTCAGAGGTCATGCCACTAATGATTCCTCCTGTCTTGGTTAGGTCTACTTGAAATCAATCATGGTTCCATGCTTCGAGTTTAGGGCATTTGAATCCAAATACTTATTGAAGAGGGATTGGTCTTACTATCATACATCTGCTATGGTAGTTATGCCAATCTTCCCAATCATATAATATCTTACTTATAGGGTTAAAATATCTCTATTAACTCGTTGCAACTACTCTGATACGACATTCTCTCATGGTCACATCTCAGTCACACAATCGTCAAATACTTCTCGCTTCCAAATCTGTCACTATGCTGACTTCTCCGAGTGTGCATCATAAGGTAGCGTTTCTAACACCTCAAGTGCAATCATAATGCAACATCTTCCCAACATGCTGTCGCACCTCGAAAATCAATCCGAACATACGACCCTTTAAAAAGGGAAAGGAAAATATCGAGAAAACCTTTTAAAATGAAAGGATGGCAATAAGGTCAACGCAACCAATGTTCCGGGTTCAAGAGTCGGTTACACAAAAGGAAAGTATTAGCACCCCTCATGTTTGTTGTACCCAACGGGAACCTCTTAGTATGATTTGCGATGGGTGTTATCTAATCTTGTTTGTTTTCTTCTCAATGATAAATGTGAATTGGTATGATAAATGTAAATTGGTATGATAAAAGGAATAGATGCTAAGGGGAAAAAGGGTGGTTTTAGGATAGGGTGCTCAGAAAGGATTGAAGCCCTTGTGCCTACGTATGCTAATTCGTACGAGAACAAGAAATCAAAGCTCTCGTAGTTCGACTAAGGGAACAGTTAGGGGGAAACAGAAGATGAACGGAAGGTAGCTCACCAAGATCATTGTAATCTTGTGCCTACATATCTTACATTCAGACGAGAATGAAGAATCAAAGCGTTCGTAGTTCTCCACGAAAAGATAAAGGTTGAAATGGTTTGGGGTTTGGTTTAGAAACAAAAGATTGACTGACGAACAACCCAAGGGGCGTGCCTCGAGAGCTGTCACTCAAGAATTCAAGGAATGTGAGATTCCAAGAACTCAGTTCTTTCGGGAGTTGATTAGAAATGTTTCAAGAAAGAGTTGAACGTTTTGAATTCGAAAGTTTGAATGAATAACAACTCAAAGGGCGTGCCTCAAGAGCTATACATTTGAAGGTTCAAGGAATGCTAGACTCCAAGAATCTCCTTCTTTCGTAAGTTTGATTATGAAAATGTTTGAATAAAGATTAAGTGTTTTAAGACGAATCGGTGAATGAGTGACAATCCAAAGCTTGCGCCTTAAGAGTCATTCATTCAAAGGTTCAAGGAATGATAGACTCTAAGAATCTTCTTCTTTTGTTGTTTGTTTAAGAAAATAGTTTGAAAACGATATAATCGAATTAGATTGCGAAAAGAGGTGGACTGCGAGGCAAAAGGCACTCGACTTACAACTTTTGAAAATACCACTTGACATTGGATTAAGGGTTTGATTTTATTTGCATGCAAAGACATGGTAGAAAGGAGTTGATTTAAAAATATCTCGACGACGAGTCGAGGGTTTTGTTAGAAATGGAACCGGCTTGACGAAGAATCAAGGGTTAGGTTGTGAGAAAAGATATTAGTCCCTGAGGGTGCTCCTAATAACGAAACCACGATAAGATGTGAAAGTGTGTGCAATAGGTTGATGGCGAATGCGTACAAGCACTCGACTTATAGAGGGTGTTTTAAAATGACTCGATGACGAATCGAGAATTAGTTTAAAAACGGTTTAGTCTACGCTAGTTCCTACGGGTGCTCCTAGAAGATAAACCACAATCAAAGCAAATATGAATACATACATCGTAATAGGAGAGGGGTACATGTAAGTCACACGGGATTGCACGAAATAAAATGTCTCATTGTAAGGTAGCCCAAGAGGAAGCCGTGTGTGTGCGAAGTGTCTTAAACTATGTCTTGAACAAAAGTTGGACAAAACCTCCTTGCTAGGATTTTTGACAAACTCCAATAATTAGTTGTTCAGAAAAGTAACCAACAGTCCACCAATTTAGGATTTTATTGTTTCGATCGTTTATTATGTATTTTGAAGAGTATGAGCAAGATATGAACAAGATGAATATGAACAATATGAATAATATCACAAGATATATAACAATATAATCAAGATAATATTCACAATAGTATAATCAAGATAATATTAGCAAGTATATGAATAAGATAATATAAATCAAGATATAATGACTGAAATTAAAATAAGAGTATATTGACGGGAAGTGAATCAAGAATATATTGACGGAAAGTAAAGTTAGTGGTTAGTTTGATTTGAATTGAATCGGGATGAAATGTAGCGTTAAACCGTCATAGCTCAATCTATAACGAAGATCAAGCTATAGGAGGTCGCGCAAGTTGATATCCGTACTAAAAACACGATGGAGAAATGATATTGAGGATCATTTTCCAATGTAATCGTGTCACATGGACCAAAAAGAAGACGATCTCGTCTTAATCACAAACTTCTGCCGATTAATCGAAGGTTAACAACCTCAATAAATCGACGTTTATGAATATAAAGACTTCATCGATCGAGAATGAAACAAAATCGAAAAGGGAATCGAAACGAAAAGAGAAGATAAAAATCAAGATAGAAATGAGATGAATAAATCAAAGAATAAAGGCCATCAAAAAATGATTGAAAGAAAGTTTAAGAAACTAACATAATTATTAACAATGACTAATAAAATTACAAAAACATTATTAATAAGGGATTAATCAAAGTAATTAACAAAAATGCCCACAAAATTATTTACCTAAAATATTAGCAATAGGTTATCAATCACTAAAGCAGAATTATCAAATAAAGAACTTAAAAACAAACACTAATTAAACAAATTAGTTATGATTGGGGGGAGGTACAAGATCAAGTGAGGGTGTTTAGAATCCCATGGAATCATCATGGGCCTCACGGCCCATTCATCCATCATCAGTCAACAACAACAAAAACAACCGAACAAGAAAAGAAATATGGGCTACAAGCCCAGACCACACGTAAAAAAGTTGGTTCAATTAAAACCAAAGCAAGCTCTAAAAACGTGCCTCACTCTTCTTTTTTTTATTTATAAAAAAACAAGAAAACTTAAAAGAACAAAATACAAGAAACAAAGCTATGAGAAGTTCATTCCAACACATTGAATTTGTTATCTTTAAAAATAAAATAAAAAACGAAGCTCTCAGATCAAGAAATCAACACACAACGACACTCTTTCAGGGTGGAAAAGGAAAAAAGACGACATCGAATCAAGCCACCTTCTTCCGTTTGCGCACCAATGAACCAAACCAACTCGAAGATAGTTCGGAATTCGACTCGACAATTAAATCGTTGAACTAGGTTCATGAACCAAATGAGTTGAGTATGAGCGAAAAATTAAGTTCGTTAACTAAATGAGCTGAACTTGAACTATACATAGTTCGACTCGTTAGGTTCATGAGTCAACTCGATTACATATGAAAAGAATTATACTGTCTTTAAGATTAGGTTTAAATATTTACTTCAAATCTTAGACAAATTTAATCTTCAATTTATTAGTTTTTGAATTAGACTCTCAAATGTATCTCTTGAAAGTTGTGTAGGTTTTGAAGTAGTAGATTTCGAAGATAAAGTTAAATTTCAATATGATAACTTTTATTTTATTTTAATATTTTATTTTAAAAATATATATTTATTTAAAATGTCAAATATACTAAAAAATATATATATTTAAAAAAATAGTTTTTAAGTTCGTGAACCATGTGAGCTGAACCTAATGAGATGAACCTAACGAGTCGAGCCGAACTGTTCGTGAACTTATAACGAGTCGAGTTTGAGCTTAAAAAAAAGTTCGTGTCGAACTCGAACTCGAACTCGAATTCGAACAATTCTTAACGAGTCGAGCCGAGCTGAGGTGAGTTCGACTCGACTCGACTCATTTCCAGCCCTACGAACAAGAAAAGAAATATGAGCTACAAGCCCAGACCACACGTAAAAAAGTTGGTTCAATTAAAACCAAAGCAAGCTCTAAAAACGTGCCTCACTCTTCTTTTTTTTATTTATAAAAAAACAAATAAAAACAAGAAAACTTAAAAGAACAAAATACAAGAAACAAAGCTATGAGAAGTTCATTCCAACACATTGAATTTGTTATCTTTAAAAATAAAATAAAAAACGAAGCTCTCAGATCAAGAAATCAACACACAACGACACTCTTTCAGGGTGGAAAAGGAAAAAAGACGACATCGAATCAAGCCACCTTCTTCCGTTTGCGCACCAGATCCTTCCTCTCGCTCGATTTAGATTTCACTTTCACTTGTTGGCTCGCTTCGATTCCGATTCGAACTCATTTCGCTGCAGGTTTGTAAATTTTGATTTCGTTTATAATTCGTGGCTTCTCTCCTCATCTCATTCTTCTATTTTCTGGGGTTTTAATTTGATGATTTTGGGGTTAGCGGTTGTAAGGGAAGAAAGAAGATTTTGGGTTAAAAGTGATTTGAAGAGGGAGGTTCTGTTTTGTGAAGGTATGAATGGAGGAAGAAGAAGGTTTGCAAAATATTTGAAGGAGATAATGATGCTTGAGCAGAGTAATAGCGGCCTTTTTTTTAGATCTTCCCCTTTTGGAAGTTGTATTTATAGAGTGAGAGGTGCGTTTTGGGGAAAGAATAGTTGCAAAACCATTCGCTATTGTTGTCGTCTTGTTGTTCGTCATGACATTTCGCAATTGTGCTCGTGTCATACCAATTGTTTTTGCAGGTCGCAGCGTTTATGGATCAAGATAGGGACTGTGGATTTTGTGCGTGATATGCGGAAGCTAGGCCAAAACTGTGTGGGGTATTTGCCGCGCTTTATTTCAAAATTCCGCTGCGTAAAAGGTGTATTATTGGATGTGTGGTGGTAACGTGGGGTTGATTGAAATGCTTTATGCGCAACATTTTGTGGTATGTAATTGTGAAGTGACTGACTCATTTGTTTTGTGAATGTGGTGGATGCTTGTGTATTACGTATTGGAAATAATGCATGGCGTATTGTCTTGTGCAGGATTTATTGCTCATGGAAGGTTGCAAAATGCCTGCATACTTGGAAGGGTTGGTTGCTTGAAATTTTTTGCTTCCTTGGCTTAAGAAATGGCAAGAAGGATGGTGCGAACGTGATGTTGGATGATGGGATTTTGGAAGGTGTATCAAGGTCGTGTAATGTGGTGTTTTGGCTTTAGAAACGTTAGTGTGTGTGATTCATGGAGCATGTCCCCTTCTTCATTCATTTTTTTACTTATTGAATAATGGGCTCTTCTTTTTTCTTTAATGATGGGCCTTTATTGTAACAAAGACATGTCTCTTTTTTTTTGTTGATAATTTTAATGGGCCTTTGGTTCTTGATCCACGGTGTTTTTTATGTAGAACTTTTTTTTTTTAACGAATGGACTTGAATTGAGATTTGAATTTATACCTCCACTTAATTCTTGGACCGTGCTTGAAAAATTTAATGATAATTTTGAAACCTTGATTCTTGATTAAAACTTGAACTTCATATGTGATCCAGAAGATCCATAAACTAGATTCCACTCTTTTTAGAATTTCCCACTTAAATTGCATACAACTTGAATGGATCTACAACAATCGACCATGAATCCATCCTTTGAACTTTGCTACTAACTTTGAAATGAATCTTGAATTTGCCTAAAAGTGAATCAATTCCTGAATCTTAACCATTCTTGAACAAATCCTTGAAACATGATTGAAATTGAATCCAACTTGAAATTACCTTGAACCTTGAGGAGTCAAAATATTCACTGTGGACCAAGTGAATAGGAAAATGCCTTGAGATAAAAGGATTATGATTTGATATATGACTTGCATTGCAACTGCACAAACCCTATCTGGCAAATAAAACAAGCATTATGAACTTGACACAATCTGACAACCTGGTCCATACATATCTTGAATTATCCCAAAACCATGATTAAAGCCTCAGATTCACATCATTTGAATTATGCCCCTCCTGGTCTTGATCTTGAAACAAATTCTTTCCTGACCAAGATTAGGTCAAAACCTCTTGAACTGAAAATATCACTGCACACACACTGGTCCTAACAAACCTCAAATAAAGTTGGGCTCAATAAATGAACAAAGAAAGAAAAAGAAACACATTTTTTTGGATTTTCTGAATATGGGTTAGTGGATGGATGTACAGATGAAAGTTATATAGGTAGAAAAAATTTGGGGTACGACACATGTCGCAACTGCGAAAAACAACCGGCGGAAAAATAGAAGAGTCGTCACTTTCGTTATTTATCCCAAAGAGAGGGAAAGGAAACGATCGGAAAAACCTGACGGAAAAGGGAAAGACAAGGTCATCGCAACCATGTCTGGATTCGGGAGTCGGTTACGCAAGGGGAAGGTATTAGCACCCCTCACGTACGTCGTACTCGACGAGATCCACGCATTGTTGTCTATCTAAAAGGGTGTGTTGAAACTATCTAGCTAAAGGCTTAGGAACAAAAGAAAAAGAAAAGAGAAGTGACTCGGCAGAGCATCGCCGCTCTGTGCCTACGTACTCCCTCGTGCAATGGGAAAGTCAGAGTCAACGTAGTTCGACTAACTACGGGTAAAGAAATGGGGAAGGTTGATCGACAAGACATCGCGTCTTGTGCCTACGTACTTTCATCTGGTATGAAAGATCAGAGCGAACGTAGTTCGGGCTAAAAGGACCACAGGTTGGTTCAAAAGTTTTTAGGCCCGAGTAGGGTTAACAAATAGTTCTAGCAGTTGGTGTATGCAGCTCGACCATTGGAGACTTAGGCGTTACCGTTTGCGGTAGAACTAAAAGTTAACAACACTCATTTTGTGAAAAAAATTTCCTGATTAAGAATCCCGTAGGATGAAAAAGGTTTGAATTGTTTTTGTGTTTTATAGAGAACAAGTGTTTTGAATTTGATTTGTAACTCATGTCGCACTAGAGACTATGACCTAAGAGCGAATGCGTCGTATATCACTCAAAGGGTGTACACTAAACACTCTAGGTCATTGAGAGGAGGCCCCTCAATTACCATTTCTCAAGTAGCTTAAGGCTCGTAGCGTGCTACACTTGTCATTCTTTATTAAGGGTTTTATGAATGTTTGAAGATGAGAAGAGAAGAAAGGACACTAATGGGAGACTCATCAATCCTAAAAGTTATCATGCAAAATGGACTTAAAGTTGAGTTGAAAGGGAGCTACCTGATCGATAAAATAGCAAGTGTACTATTTTATTCGATGTAGTAATAAGGGAAAAAGTCCCAAGTATCGATCTCGAGGACTGCGTAGTAATCAACAATTGTTTTAGTATTCAAAGGAACAAAAACACCTTGGGGTTGTTTGGTAACAGATTATAAGAACAAGTAAAATAACAATAGTTTAGAGTAAAAATAAGAACGATGCTAGGGAAGTGGATAAATTGCTAGTAAAGACCTTAAAGAATTATTCTGAGATATTCGTTTCCAACCTTAATAAGTCAAATTTCAAAATCTGTTTTCCTTAATTCCTTAATGAAAAACCCTTTGATAATTTTCCTACGCACTAGTTCCTTAGTTGCACACGAAAATCATCAAGTAATAGTTCTGACATAAAAACACGCTACTACGGGGTATCCCCATTTCTAGGCAATATCAACCGTAGTGTTATTTTGCAAAAATCATTAGGTTGACTTTCCAGACCAAAACCTAATCGTAAATCAAATTCCATTTTCTAATATGAATTCGCATAAACATCGTTGCAAAATAAAAGCTATAAGGTGAATGACATAAATCTCATATAATAATTCCAACAAAGGTCAATACATTGCAATTTAGGACCACCCCCTAACAAATGGGGGTTTAGCCACTCATGTTCTTAATCAAAACAAATGCACTTAAAGATAAAAGGGAAAAAGTCATTACAATAAGAAATGGTTTCCTTGGATCATCAATTGCTTCCGCTCTTGGTCGATCCTTGTTTGCCCGAAAAATCCTTCTTCAGTGTAACAATTCGATCCCCCAATTCAAAAGTAATCATGTCTTTGCCAAAAAGAGGCTAATATATCCAAATTCAAATTACATCACAAAATGTCTAAAATGCCCTTCGAAACAGCTCAGCTAGCACAAAACAGGAAAAAATGACAAATTCACTATCAGTGGCCCTAACACGGGCCGTGTCATGGGACACGGGTGGCCGTGTCAGGTTGCTGCTCAATGGGGCGTGGCTTTCTTCTTTAGGGACTGCAACACGGGCCGTGTTGTGTGACACGGGCACCCGTGTTGTGCTTCTGTTCTCCATTTTTCTCTTCAAAACTTGGGTGTGTCATCCAACCGTGTCTCTCCTGACACGGGCCGTGTTGTGTAACACGGGCGCCCGTGTCAGGCCTCTGAATTCCATGTTTTTGGCTTTTCTTTGTCTCCAAAACGGTACGGATATCGGGTCACCACTTCCTGCCAAAAACACACTAAAAACAACCAAATCAAACGCACCAGCGGCAAAAGTGATACAAACCTCAAAATAAAACTTACACCAAGACGACTGAAAATAACTATGAAAACATAAACAAGAGATTCGAAAATGGATAAAAACAATGCAAAACAAACGACATACACAGTTTGAAAAACACAACTAAAACCCACTGATCAAACTCCCCCGAACTTGAACTTTTGTTGGACCTCAAGCAAAAAGCTCGCCAAACAAAACTTTATATTTTTTTTTATCGCACAAATGAACTGTCAACAGAACTGCGAGTTACGGTGCTGATACTTATACGTGAGTTTCTCGTTCCAAGTCCCACGAGGATTAGTCTCGGCCTACTCCGTCAAAATAGGTAACACACAAACACTAGACCGCGGCAAAACCACGGACCTCAATCTCCCTATCGGTAACCTCTCTGACTATGCTTTGTACTTAAGTCTTCTTTTCGATTTCCAGCCCTTTTCATTCGGACAATCACTTAAAGGCTTTTATGATTTTTTCCTCGCATGCACAAGATTGATCAACAATTTTTCTGGCACTGTTATATATATATATATATATATATATATATATATATATATATATATATATATATATATATATATATATATATATATATATATATATATATATATATATATATATATATATATATATATATATATATATATATATATATATATATATATATATATATATATATATATATATATATATATATATATATATATATATATATATATATATATATATATATATATATATATATATATATATATATATATATATATATATATATATATATATATATATATATATATATATATATATATATATATATATATATATATATATATATATATATATATATATATATATATATATATATATATATATATATATATATATATATATATATATATATATATATATATATATATATATATATATATATATATATATATATATATATATATATATATATATATATATATATATATATATATATATATATATATATATTTGGAATGACTTTCAGGTTCGACTGTCGTTGGGCTGAATAACCGGGTGAGGGTTACCCAACTTAGAAGGATTGGTCGTCTAATTGCCTTTATTTTAACTTTTTTTTTTCGGTGCCTTTTCTCAATATATTTTTTTTGATCAACCTCGCACACACGACTCTTATAGATTAAGCCCGACTGTCAAAATAAACTACTAGGGGGTACTTCTCAGATCAAAGTACTATGGTACAAATCTACACGTCGGACTCATTCCTTATTCGGGAAACTCAGGGTGTTTACGTTTTACCT